CCCCCCCCCCCCACACACACCACCACCACCTTTTAACCATATAAAAAGATAATTCATAATCTTCAAAGAAAAGCTTTTTGTTTTATTTACCAAATATACAGTATAAGATTTTCCCAAATGATGGCAAATTTTACCCCGAGTTTCAGTATCACTGTCTTTCTTCATTAATAACATATGTACAATTATTGGGTTAAACATACTATTGAGGGGAAATATTAAACCTATATCTACCGGATTATTTCATACAAAGCAAATAAACCTATAATATGTCTGCCAGGAAAAGGTCATTCTACTTAGAGATAGGAATAAACTGATTTCAAGGAAAATATCACCTTTAGGAACAGAAGGTCAAAGCTATACTTAGAGGAGGGATGAAGGAGCAAGATACGTTAATTTTTTCTCTCTTCAAATCAGTCATGTGAAATCTAAAAAAAAAAAAAATGCTTCACTAAATAACACAAAAGAGCAGATTTTCCAGTGTAAGATGGAAACTGGACGTATTATTTGATCCAATTCCCACACAAAGTAAATGTTATCCCAAGATGGTAAAAAAGTCACGTCACGACCACTTGCACTAACACTTCACTCCACCATTCCCACTCCTCTTAAATTTCCCAGCAAACACTTCCCAATAAGAAAAACTCAGATCTTTTTACACAAACCCTCATCATTGTTATTGAAGCTGCATCTCTCCTAGCAGCAGGAAAAATATCAGAACGTTTGCAGTATAAACACTTCACCATTGAAGTATTTGTGATAAAATACAACTTGCAACTTGAGTGGTATCACAAAAGTTAGTGCGATAGCTCTCATCTTGTATTAGATGTTGTGATTGCCAGAGTGAGGAAATAATACAATTTCGTGGCACAATTTTCTACTGCTTGCAGGCAGTGTTTTTTTTTTTTTTGGCTTATACCGTACATACACTACAAAAGAAAAGTCAGGCAAATGACTACCTATCAGGAATCTTACGTCATACATTATTTGTTTACACAGCACTATGGGAAAACCTGGGAATCAAGTACCCAGTACAAGGGGATCTTATATTGCAGTGCTAAAAATGTACAAACAAAAGACATGCACATTTTAGGCAATTTACCCCCCCCCCCCCAATAATGAAAGGTAATATTAATACTATAAAATTGCTTAAAGAAAAGGATGAGCCCTGAAATATATAGAATCCCCCCTCCAAAAGAATAAAAAGTCCTCCGCTTCCATAGGAGATGCATAATGTAACATCCACATCAGGATTATTCTCTCCAAACTAAGCGATTACTTGCCATACCATTCTTTTTTTTTCACATAATTATATAATGAAAATATATAGTCAATGTTCAAGATGAGAAAATAACCAAGTTACCATTTAGAGTTCACAAACTTTCCATATACATTGATCGTGGTGAGAAAATATGTGTTTCTGGGAGAAGACATTCATCAAACTGCACATTTTTTCTATAATCAAAAGTTTTAAAAACTGTTAAGTGTAATTATTTTACAAAGTACCACTTACCACATAAAAACAGGTGGTTAAAATATTGGACCTGCTTCTGAAGCATATGAGTCAGTTCCACAGGTGATCTAGAAAAAAATAAATAACTTTTAGTAAATTGAAAGTGCAACCAAGACAGAAATATTTCTTTGATGAGCAACAAAACTTTGTTCATAGATCAATATAATTATCTTAAGACAGCATTTTAAAAATATTTTTAAACATTGTGTTTAAGTCTGCATAACGTCATTCAACCAAAACAATACACACACTTACAAATACACCTATAAACAATAAATAATTTTTAAAAAATAATCCTCAATGTTCACCAAGTCTTCTTTTTTATAATTGAATCACGATAATTTAAGAACTAATCCATGCATTCGGAAAGACAAATACCTTTGGGATTAGTTAATCTTTTTGGGGGCATATAATCCAGTAATGTACTGACCCTACCTAAAGTAATTGCCCCTAATAAGCTTTTTGCACATCCTATTTCTCGTTATGCTCTTTTTTTATCATTGTCATTTTTAATCAACCTATTTAGCATTACTAGTCTAGCAAGTCATTAATGTGGATTTGCTATGGGTGGGTATGTGGGTGGATGTTGGGTGTAAGGTTAGATGGATACACCAATGTATGTGGGTGGGTGTTGGGTGTATGGGTACATTGTAGCTGGGTCAATGTGTTTGGATGGATGAATGGGCGGGTATGTGGGTCTGAGTTGGGTGTATAGGTATGTGGTAGATGAATAAGTAGGTGGGTGTTGGGTGTGTGGGTGGATGGGTGGTTGGATGGATGAATGGATGGATGGATAGAGAGATGGATATGCTGTATATACATGTATAAATAGATAAACATGAGTACAGCTAAACCGCATGCTGTTTCATCATAAATCTATAACAATAACAGCTTGAGGAGAAAATCTTTTAAGTATATCAATTTTCTTGCACTTGCTCTTACTCAGTCACCTTCTTTGCCAACCCTTCCAGTTTATGATATAGACCCTGGTCAATATATTTGTCTACTGCCTCTGGCTGTGAGAAGAAAGCATTTCAATTAGCATTCTGGGCCTAATTCCAGCACATGCAGCAAAACTGGTGCAAAAAATATTGTTTTGAGATGTTGAATCTAACAGGACAGCTGCAACCCAAACTGCAATTATTCCAACTTTTTCGTCTTTGTCAAATGTCATACGAGTGCACACTTGCAATTGCCATATTCTTGTTTACGCACCTGTGATTGTCTTATATTGTTTTTGTTACGGACAAATGAATGATTTTAGGAAAGCATTTTTATTGTTTTTTTTTTAACCAAAGCATGAAATATTGATCGTACCTATAGAAAGTTAGGTGTTGAAGAAAGAATTGTCTATTTAGCACTGATGATGACCTACCAAAAGTATATCTACCAAAATAAAAAAAAGCATAATCATTTCAGAATATGTTCACATATTCACAAAAAAATTAACAAAAGAATTTCACAGTGGGTAATGACAACATATTTCATATTAAATCAAAGAGCTTTAGCTGACGATCAAAGTTATAAATACAATAGTGAGTGACTTTCCAACCAAAAGGGACATCAATGTTAAACAAAAGTAGGGTAAATTGTGGAAGCAAAAATTAAAAAAAAAATGAAAAGCTCCAATATCAAAGTGCGCATTATTGCACAAGATCTGTAATGCCTCACTGACTAAAGGCCTATAGTCAATGTATAATTGAAGAACATTAGGAAAGGCAGGGGGAATGACTTCCAAAATCAATACAATGTAACACTGTGTAACCAACAGTTAGTATTCTACTCAGTGCAATCCTAAAGCTATGGATACAATGTAACAGCATGTAACCAACAAATACAATATTGTACTAAGTGTACTTGCCATAATGAATACAATGTAACACTATGTAACCAATAACTACAGTATTGCATTCAGTGTTCTCCTAAACTATGCATACAATGTAACACTATGTAACCGACCATTACAGTATTGCACCCAGTATACTCCCAAACTACAGATACAATGTAACACTGTGTAACCAACTGTTACAGCATTGTACTCTGTGTAATTGTAAGATATCTGTACCAGAATAATAGGAAAGAAATTTTGATAAATGAATAAAGGGCTTCCATTACTGGGTATTACAAAGCATAAAAACTGGCTAACTCCCGCTAAACAAATTAGTTTCCTAACCAGAATCTGAATGAAAAAAGATATACCCACAATTCAAATAACTACCTCAAATATAATGGAAACTGAGGACAGAATAATGCATGGGATGCTGGACCTACAAAATAATTAAATAAGGCAGAGGTAGCCTAGAGCTGATCCTGCCATGAATAATTCAAATGACGGAATAGACACTGCCAATTACATTAATTGGGTAGGCAAGAAATACATTACATCACTGTACTCTTAGTAATACATTTGACCAACACATCAACAGTGTCACTAAAAGTGAGGCAAGACGGTTATCAAATAGGCTAGAAAAAAAATTAATAAAACAATTCCTAGTGTTTAATGACAACACATTTTATAATTTAGTAAAACTTGTTATACAAATATTACAACTAAACAATAACATGCATGAGGAGCCCATAGTCCCTTCCTAATGAGTCAATAAAGTATTTATCATAAAATTATATAACAACTGCATAATTATCTGATATATGACTCTATAATAATTATAGCATTCTGTTCAGAGGTTCAATCATGTTGATGAGGTTGTATGCTTATACAATGTGTGACAGTTTTTAAAACGATTAAGTCTTGCTACTGGTTTGTTTTAAATGTGAAAAAAAAAGCATAACAAACCCATCATCTTCTTATCATTGTGCGAATGCATTATAGTTGTGTGCTATATCAGTATATCTATAATTATCTAGCATCTTACAAAACAGATATACTGCACATGAAATGGTTAAACTTTTAATCTTAAAACAGTAAAAAAAAAACAGTAGAAAAAACATACAACTTACTCTATCAATGTTGCACTATCATTCTAAAATCGCACCTTCCCTCACACCTGATATACCTTAATTGACTAATGGCTCAGGTTGACAGTGACAAATGTAGCCGGAATAACTTAACATAATGACAACCATTTCATACACTGCTAAACATATGGTGAATCATGCTTCTGATATATCTTACGCCTTCAAGTATCTCTCAAGCTGTCTTACATACATGTGTATGATCAAAATTGTTGTAATAATGACGGAATGGATTATGTAGAGAAAAACTCAACAGCAAAACCATTACATCAAAGAATACTGCACATGCAACATGCAAGGCAGACCAATGATCCAAAAAGACATTAATTTTCTTATCTAACTGACAAAAGTTGCCTCTCTCTGCTGAATCCTCATTTTATCATATCTTCTATTCATTATCATAATTAATGCAACAATAATAATAATAATACCTCTATAAAATGATGTAATTTTATCGTCTACCTCTTTATGAATCTAGCACCAAGGAATCGCAAGATGCCTTCCAGTTGGTTCACTGCGCCAACAGCATCCAACTAATTGGTAGCTACAGCTATCTCTTTCTGCTGATCTCAGCCAGCAAATTCAACTTGCCAATGACGACCTTTCCTAAAATCAATACAATCTTCTACTTGACCCACTGCAATTAAATCTGCATTTCTCTCCTCAGTAATCACACTACATGCAAGTGGTAGTTTTTTCTGCAATCAGACGAAATCTTGTTAGTTGTCTTCAGAGATGGTGCTCAGTCTGCATGCAAACTTTAGTTGAGTTGCAGTTCAAATTCTGATAATATGCATGCTTTCTGACTTACAACTGTTTTACTATGGTTTATGTTTTTTAAATGTCTTTATCATAATCATCATTAAAATTGCATAATCGTACCAATCTTTTGCCGACTTTTTTGGAATACTGGTATCTGTAAGCAATATTGTTCAAAATTAATTTTATCCTACTGCATTTTAGTATGAATAAATAAATAAATAAAAGTTTGACCCAAGATACAAATAAACATGTATCTATAGTTTTTATAATTATTCACCCATAATAATCTATCTATTTAGAATACATATGTATACAATAATACTGGAATTCAGAAGAATTGTACATTTAATTTCAAGATAATATTTTTTAAAATTTACCAAGATAATTTCTTAGCACCAGGAAATGAATATTGAAATAAGTGAGCCAAACTTTGAAAAGAAGACTGTTCACTCCCTTAATTCCTGTACAATTTAATTCTGTGGCATATAATATTCTGTGTTCTAAAATGTTTATCATGTCATGTCACATACGTCACATTTTAAATCAAGTTATGCCATGTCATGTATTAAAATGTCATGCCATATTATATAATATAACACTACATCATGTACATTCAGTACATCACAAGTTTATGTCACATAATTTCATTGTGACAGTACCAGTATTGCGAACTGCAACATATTAGAAAAGATACAGATACACAATACACAATGTCATGCCATACAATACTTAATGTACTATCATATATATGCCTATATTTCATCATATCATGTCATATCATGAAATATTTCAAATAGGGTCATGCTATATCACTCTTTTTATCCCCAGGGCACTGGTCATGCCAACCCCTACCACAATATTTCACATAAGGACATCATGTCTTATTAATAATGTTTTCACATCATGTCATATATATTTCATTAACTAATCATATCACATCACCACATAATATTTCACATATATAACATCATGCTACATCATGTTTTCACATCCTGTCATATATTTCAACATATCATAATCATGCCAATTTTGTATCAAATATCATATATCATATCAACAATAATTACACCATCCACAGACAGTTATAAATAGCAGTGCTCTGTCCCTATAGTGGACCCACCCCAGCCGCCATGAAATCCCAGTTGGTTTCCCTCTGTATGAAACTAGACTTCTCAGGTCACATCTCAGGAGCACTGCATGATGTACTTATGCATCATATGGTAGCCAGTACCTTGGAGAATTTTCAGAGTCAATTTTCTTGAGATCCCTACAGATTACTACAGGATTCTGTAAGAACTTCAGGAATCAATAGATGACTTCTTAAGGTTCCTGA